CTCGGCTAAGAGCCGGAACTCGTCGGGCTCGAAGCAATCCATGACGGGGATTTGTCGGCGTCTTGATCAAGATCTGGGCTCCATGTCCCGCTCGGGCCCCCATGTTGGCTCTCCTGCTGCGCGGTCGCCTGCTATCCGTTCCCCGGTGTCCACGGCCCACAAAGGTAGGCGGGTGGCGCATTCTGGTGGCTCTATCCTGGAAAGGGCAGAGAAGCGGGCCGCGGCGAAGGACCTCCCTCCCCCACGTACCTCCCCATCCTCATCAATCGCTATTTCTCCGGTTCGGGTGGTTTTACCTTTGATGTCTGATGATCATCTTTTAAACATTATGTCGGATGTGGGTGTGGTGGTTGATTCTTCTGTTGGTTCTCCTAGTTCGCTTCTTGCCATTATTCGGGCTAATGAATTGGCTCAGGCAGCCATTGCGAAAGCCAAAGAGGCTGTTGCCTCGTGGGTCACGGCTTCTGGCGGTGATGCGGGGGAGGCTTCGGGTGCTGGTAGTGGCCAGCCCCCTTCCTGCCTTGCCAAGAGGGGCACTAATAAACGTACTAAATCCTGCATGGCCCCCTGCAGGTCGAGTCTCCGTATCAAGAACCTTTCGTATAAATGAGGGCTTTATTCTGGAATATTAGGGGGTTCGGTGCTAGGGGGCGCCGTGACCAACTTAAAGATCTGGTTCATTCTAACTCCATTGATTTTGTGGGGCTGGTTGAAACTTTTAAGGATTCCTTCTCCCCTAGTGAGCTCTCTGCTATCGTGGGTATGGATAGATTTCAATGGCAATTTTTACCTGCTTCGGGCCATTCTGGTGGGATTTTGATTGGTTCTAATAAGGATATTTTTGATTTTGTTGCCTTTGATCATGGGTTTTTTTGGGCCAGTGTTGTTCTCTCTCACAAATCTATGAATACTCTCTGTGAGTTTATCGTTGTTTATGGGCATGCGGATCACTCTCTTTCGAACCTTTTCCTTAATGAACTATCGATCAAGATTGAGTCTTGTAATTTACCGATGGTTATTGGGGGAGACTTTAATCTTATGCGATGCCCTCTTGACAAGAATAATGATAATTTTTCTTGGTATTTAGCCAATGCTTTTAATGACTTCATTAGTGATAACGCCATCCGTGAGCTTCCTCGGGGGGAGCTCGCTTTACTTGGTCTAATCATCAGGCTAACCCTATTAGGTCCGTATTTGATCGTGTTTTCCTATGTCCCAGGTGGGAATCCTTGTTCCCTAGGTCCTCTCTTTTCGCTAAATGCATTGTCGGGTCTGACCATACCCCCCTGATTCTTGACGATGGTTCCATTTGCAATAGACCTCCGGCTAGATTTCAGTTTGATGCTTCATGGTTGTCGGTGGATGGCTTTGTCGATATGGTCGCAGCGAAGATTTCCCAATCCCTCTCTTCCAATCTCCGCTCGTTTGGCCCTCTAGATGACTGGCAGTCGTGCTCCTATGCTTTACGTAAATTTCTTAGAGGCTGGTCGTGTAACCGTGCGGCGGAGGATCGCCGCACCAAAGCTTTTCTTGAAAATCAGATCCTGGAGCTGGATCGTACTGCTGACTCTATTGGGCTTTCTGACGATGGATGGGCCGTTCGTTATAATCTGGAGGCTGCTCTTTTGCAGCTGCACCATCAGGCTGAGATTTACTGGCGCTAGAGGGGCACTCTTAATTGGACTCTCAAAGGGGACGCTCCTACTGCCTACTTTTTTGCGATTGCAAACGGTAGGCGTAGGCGTTGTGATATTAACAGCCTGATGATTAATGGTGTGCGCTCTACTGATCAGTCTGTGATTTTGGCTCACGTGGTGGATTTCTTTTCGTCTCTGTTAGGGGCTAAACCTCAATCGGGCCTGTCCATTTCCCCTCACCTTTGGAGTTCTGGTCTTAAAATTACCCCCGAGGAGAATGCATCCTTGATGATTCCGCTCTCTGATCAGGAAATTTGGGATGTGGTTACCTCTGCTAATCCCAATGCTGCTTCCGGGCCAGATGGCTTTTCCATTCCTTTCTTTCGGAAATTTTGTCCCCAGTTGAGACAGTTGGTGTGTAACGTTATTCAGGGTTTCTGTCTTGGTACTGTCGATATCTCTCGCCTGAATTACACTGTAATAACCCTGATTCCTAAGGTCAAGGATGCTGATGTTATTTCCCAATTTCGGCCTATAGCGTTGATTAACAACTTTGCCAAGTTCCCTTCCAAAGGCTTTGCGAATCGTTTGTCTCCGGTTGCTCATAGAGTTATTAGCCCCTTTTAATCTGCTTTTATCAAAGGGTGCTTCATTCTAGACGGTATTCTTTCCCTTCATGAGATTGTTCATGACCTTCATGTGCGGAAAGCTAAAGCGATCATTCTTAAGTTAGACTTTGAAAAAGCGTATGACTCGGTTAGTTGGCCTTTCCTCAAGCAGGTCCTTCTTGCTAAAGGCTTCGACGGTGCTTATGTTCATCGTATCATGCAGTTGGTCTCGGGTGGCCATACTGCTGTTGCTGTGAATGGCGCTATTAGCAACTTCTTTGCGAATGGCAGGGGCCTTCGCCAAGGGGATCCTGCATCCCCTGTTCTTTTTAACTTCGTGGCCGACACCTTCTCTTGCATGCTCTCCAAGGCGGCCCGATGTGGACACATTACCCCTGTGGTATCCCATCTACTTCCGGAGGGTGTCTCCCATCTGCAATACGCGGATGATACAATCATCTTGGTGGAGTTGGATAATGCCTGTATTGCCAATCTGAAATTCATCTTGTTGTGTTTCGAAGCCGTTTCGGGTCTTAAGATCAATTTCGCCAAGAGTGAGGTTCTGGTTACGGGTGTGGACGGGGCGGAAGCCTTGCGGGTTGCCAGACTCCTTAACTGCTCTTTAGGCTCTTTCCCTTTCAAGTATTTAGGTCTTCCTATCTCTCCTGGTATGCTTCATGCGAAGGACTTCGCTCCGGTGGTTGCTAAAGTGGGTAACAGGGTGCTCCCTTGGAGGGGTAGATATAATACCAATGCCGGCAAAGTGGCTCTAATCAATTCTTGCTTATCCTCTCTCCCTATGTTCCTTATGGGCTTCTATCTTCTCACGAATGGCGTGCATTCTGGCTTCGACAAACATAGGGGTGGCTTCTACTGGAATTCTGTTGATAACAAAAGAAATTATAGGCTGGTTAAGTGGCACCTTATGTGTAAGCCTAAAAACCTTAGGGGGTTAGGAATTATTAACACTCGGGTGATGAACATTTGTTTGCTTATCAAGTGGTGGTGGAAAATTATGACTGTGGGGGCAGAGTCGCTGTGGTTCTCGATTCTTAAGGCCAAATATTTCCCCCACTCCAACCCTATGTTTGCTTCCGCGCGGCGTGGTTCTCAGTTTTGGAAAGCCCTTGTTAAAGTTAGGCCGATTTTTTTGGAGCACGTCAAGTTTTCGGTGGGTAATGGGTCTGTTGTCCGTTTTTGGTTGGATTGGTGGTCTGGGGATGCCCCCCTTGCCGTGAGCTTTCCGATTTTGTCTTCTTACTGTCCCAATCCGCAGATCTCCATCGCGGAGGTGGCTGCTAATAATTGGGATTTGGCTTTCCGTCGGGCTCTGTCTCCTGAAGAGTTGGAAGATTGGCAAAGTCTCTCTGCCCTTTTCCCTATGCTCTCGGAGTCGGCCGACTCGGTGATTTGGCCTCATTCGGCCTCTGGTAAATTTTCGGTTAAGTCGTTGTATTCTAGACTCATTGGTGGTACCCCTTCGGCTAGATTCTCTTGTGTTTGGAAATCCAAGGTACCCCCTAAGATTAAGATTTTTCTCTGGCAAGCCTTCCGTGGTCGCCTCCCTACTGCTGATCAGATCAAAAAACGCAATGGGCCGGGCTCGGAATTCTGTAACTTGTGTGGGGCCTTGGAAAACTCAGATCACATCTTTTTCAACTCTGTACTTGTCAAATTAGTTTGGTCCTGCGTCAGATCTTGGCTTCGGGTTTCCTGGAATCCCTCCTCTTTCTCTGATGTTAGAACCCTAGCCAAAACCTTGGTCGGGGTCACCAAGAGGGTATTTTGGGTTGGCTTGGGAGCCTTATGTTGGGCTCTATGGACCATTAGAAACAAATTTACTATTGAGCTTACCTTCCCATCTAAGCCTGCTGATGTTCTTTTCAAAACATGTATATTCTTGCAGCAGCGGAGATCATTGACTAAGGAGCCTGATCGGGACGCCCTGGACCTGCTCATCGACAAAATTCGGGCTTCGGCTTCTCAGATCTCCGGGACGAATCCTGTCGTATAAATCTGGTGCTGTAGTTTGCGGAGATTAGGTCCTTCTCCTTCCCTGGCCTGCGCGCTGTGTTTGGCAGTTGCCTGTATCGTACTTGCTTTAGTTTCTCTTAAACTTCTCTGTGTGGCTCTGTTATCCTGTGAACCTGTGGTATCCATGACGCTGCCTTGTGGCTTTATCTATAAAGTCGGGCCTTGGCCTTTTCTCTAAAAAAGTCTCTGCGCGTTTTGCTAACAGATAGGTGCGGAATGCTAAGAGATATGTGCGGAATTTTGTTTGACCCACGTTCTGCTAAGAGATTGGTGCGGAATTATTTTTTTGATCATTTCAGGTGGATGGTTTTGACCTCGCCAGCTCCAACGCTGGGGTGTTCTAGGTAATCAAATGAGTTCTGCTGCGAGATCGGTGTGGAATTTTTTTGATGGGTGAAAGGTTAACGGTATTGGATTGTTAGTGTTGCAAGGTACTTTAACCATGTTGCAAAAGTGGATGTGTTTAGTAGAAATGTGCTTTTGCATTGTTGTATGCATCTGTTGTTGCATATAGGTTCGTCCCTATGTAGCATATGTTATGAAAATCTATTCTGAAAGATTGGGATTTGCAGCATATGCAATTTTTTCTATAAATATCTCGATGTTTTGCACCAACCTTTCAGAGTTCGCATCTCAACGATAAACTTTCACTTCGTCTCTCTCCCTCGGTCCCTCCCCACCCCACCAAGAAGTTTCAAGAAACTCAAGAACCTCTCCTCCCATGGGGGTGCCGCTGCCGAAGTCGAAGTGGCGGCCGTGGGCTGAACTCCCCGAGAGGTACCTCAGCGACATCATCCGCAACCTCCCGTGCATCCTCGACCACGCCCGCTTCTCCGGCGTCTGCACTAGGTGGCGCGAGACGGCGCGGACGAACCCGCCGAGGTTCCCGTTCCCGTGGCTGATGATGCCATCCACCGCCGCGACCTCCTTCTTCTGTGTCGCCTGCAGAGCGACCCACCACCGCCCCAGGCTCCCCGCGGACGCCCGCGGCGCGCGCTTCTGCGGCTCTTTCCCGGGCGGCTGGCTCGTCGCCGAGCTCCCGTGGCCGCGCGGCCACTACGCCTTGCTCAACCTCCTCACCGGCGCGCGCGTCCCCCTCCCGAGGCTCCTCGCCGTCCCCTGCCACGGTGGCGGCAAGATGTGCCCCGTCGTTCTCCACGCCGTCACCCTCTCCGCCGCGCCGTCCGTCGAGCCCGGCCCCGGCGAGCCCTACTACGCCGCCGCCATAGTGGCTGGCCAGTCCAATATCGCTTTCTGGTGCCCGCGCGCCGGGAACTGCTGGTTTCCGCCGATCTTCTCGTCGGACGCCAGCGACGAATCGTGGCACGATTTCTTACCCAAGAACAGGATCGAGGACGTGATATACTTCTCCGGCAACGGCAAGTACTTCGTGGGCTTCTACGTCCTCACCGACAAGGAGGACCTCCTGATGTTCCGGCCGGAGCCCGACGGCGACGGGGCGCAGCTCTCCACGTTCACGGTGCGCTACAGCTTCCCCGGCCACTGCGCGGCCGAGCCGGCGCCGGGGCAGACGGTCTCCCGCTACCTCGTCGTGTCCCGCGGGGAGCTGCTGATGATCGTGAGGTTCGCCGGCCCCGAGGAGCGCACGAGGTTCGACGTGTTCGTGCTGGAGGAGAAGGAGATCATCAGGGGAGCGGACCACAACGGCCCGCCCCGAGTCTTGGCTTCTTGGAGACGGTGCTGCAGCGCGGCGACCCTCAGCGGCCGGAGGATCTTCCTCGGGCGGGGCTGCTCCGTGGCCGTCGACGTGGGGTACCCCTTCCCGCTCTACATCTACTTCCTGGACGACGGCAGGAGGTCCCACGGCGCCCTCCCGACGGCCGGGTACCCGCCGTACCCCTGCAGCGAGACCGGCGGGTTCTGGTTCTTCAACAAGGGCATCGTGCGTTCCCTCCCGCGAGAGCCTCCGTCGGACTGCTCGCCGTGGATTTGGTTCTTCCTGTCCGACGCGACATTCCGGGCCGGCGTGCCTCCGCCTGCATCTCTGGCTTGCGGCTGGGGGGTTGACACTGACAGTGAGTAGTGACGGCACATTATCTGCAGCAGGACAGAATTCGAACTACGTACATGTAAATCTACTGTCCCGTCAGTTCTTCATCCCTGCTTTGGTAAGGTCTCAAATGTTTGATTTGATTCTTCATACTCGCCGTGGATTTGCTTCATTGTGATCATACTGTTCCGTGAGTTTATCATCATAAGAGGTGCATGAACAAACGATTGTTTGCGGTTCAGCTAATGGTGGTGTGCAACTGACCTGAAACAAGTTCCTGAATAGTTCAGTGCTCTCTGTTAATATTTGGAGTTCAGAGATGTTCCTAACGCAGCTCATATATTATCTTGAATCTTGCGAGTGTGTGTAATACTGTGGTGATGGCATGAATGAATACATGAAACCAGCCTCAGTGCCATCATATCCTTTCCATTGGCACAGTTTGGATCTTTTTTTGCTGTAGACTCTGCTGCAAGTGCAATGGAGGGTGCGACTGAATCCTTGATTCAGCTAAATCTACACTACATAACCGTTGGGTGGATCCTCCTACTGAGGAGTAGGCTCAGGCTGCTTCCTGTAGCTGTAGGTCGTTTGCTGCCCATAAACAATGCACTTGCTGAAAATACATTGTAACCACAGAGTATATCTCTGCATATATTGTACTCCCTCCGTTCCTAAACATAAGTCTTTGAAAAGATTTTACTATGGACCACATAAGGAGCAAAACGAGTGAATCTACACTTAAAATGCATATATATACATTCGTATGTGGTCCATAGTGAAATCTCTACAAAGACTTATACTCCCTCCGTTCCTAAATGTAAGTCTTTGTAGAGATTCCACTAGGTGGACTACATACGGAGCAAAATGAATGAATCAACACTTAAAATGCATCTATATACATCCGTATGTAGTTCATAGTGGAATCTCTACAAAGACTTATATTTAGGAACGGAGGGAGTATGTCAACTGGGAAATGAAGTAGAATGTCAGGGGTTGCTGCCATTCTGCGGCACCCCGGCTTTGAAGCCTCTTGACATCATGTCATAGTTCTTCCACCCAGCTGTCCATGTTACTTCATATGTAGTTCTATACTTCTATACTTCTATACTAGCAGGAGCAAGATGCACCCTCTTAAAAGAAGGAAAGCAAGAAGCAATTATATGAATCATTTTTTTGGAACGAAGGCGCTAGAAGTGTTCGGCTTTAAATTAATAAAGCCACCAGGCCAGTAACACAGCATACACTCAAAGTTTTACAAACCACACATGAAAGCATGAAGCACAGACCTTCAGTTTACAAGACTGACGCTCTACCACTAAGCTACAGGCTAGCCCCGGTTCGGCCTTCTATCCTTCCAAAAAATCAAGCTACGACAGCGTTTCCGCCTCACTCGTATTAGGCTTTGTGATGTCAACTCCAAGTTCTTCCATGCCAAGGTGAATGGTCGCAGACGAAAGAACTACATTCAGATGCTTCAGACGGAAAATGGAGTTGCGGTCACGGCCAAAGACAAGGAAGATGCGCTTTTCTCGCACTTCTAGAGCCACCTTGGAACGCAGACGCCCGGGACCAAGGGGCTCATTTGGGACAACCTGGGTCTGCATGTGTATGACCTATCAGACCTGGAAGCCCCTTTTGACGAGAGCGAGATCAAAGCCGCGATTTTTTCGCTTCCTTCCGTCAAGGCACCAGGCCCTGATGGGTTCATTGGGGCTTTTTTCAGGACTTGCTGGGAAATAATCAAGCTGGATGTTGTCGAGGCAATTTTTCAACTTGCGAACCTTCGGGAAACTGCGCTTCTCTCGTCAACTCGGCTAACATCATTCTGTTGCCCAAGAAAGCTGACGCTAGGGCTGTTGGGGACTACATGCCAATTAGCCTCATCCACAGTCTTTCCAAGGTTTTCTCCAAGCTCCTGGACAACAGGCTAGCCCCAGTTCTGCCTACTCTTGTATCTAAGTGCCAGAGTGCTTTCGTCCAAAAGCGTTCCATCCACGACAACTTCATGCATGTTCAGAACCTAATCAAGGACCTATACTGCCGGAACATCCCAGGACTTTTCCTCAAGCTTGATATATCGAAGGCTTTTGACTCCGTCAATTGGGCTTTCCTTCTTGAGGTTCTTCAGCGCCTGGGGTTTGGCCAACGTTGGCGGGACTGGATTGCATGACCCTGGCATATTCGTCATCTAGGATCCTACTGAATGGAAACCTGGGCAAGCCGTTCAGGCACGCGCAGGGCCTGCGTTAGGGAGACCCGGTGGCGCCCTGCCCTTCTCGCAAGCCTCGTCGTCACATTTTGGCAACCCCGGCACGACGGAAACCGGCATGGACCAGATCATCACGAGCGGCTCGGTCGCTGCCGCCTCCTCCCCCGGGTTCCACGCGCAAGACGACACAATGGACACCACCAACGACATGGACCACGACGAGCTCGACGACAGCGAGGAGAAGGAGGAGGAGATGGAGCCGGCGCTGGCGTCGGCGAGGAAAGGGAAAAAGAAGAAGCGGGGTGCCAGGACGAGCGAGCCACGCGTGGACGTCCAAAGAAGACGAGTGCCTCGCAGAAGCATGGAAGACCGTCAGCCTCGACCCGGTTACCGGTGCGAACCAGAACGCCAACACGTACTGGACGCGTATCAAGTCGGCATCCGATGAGCGCAAGCAGGTCAACCCCTACTTCGCCACCATCCACATGCAGCGTGTCACAAAGGCCATGTCGAACCATTGGGCGATCATCCAGACGTCCTGCAACAAATAGCATGGGATCGTCGAGGAGAACGCGGCTCGCCCGGAAGGCGGCGCCAACGTCGAGGGTCAGGTATGTACAGCCGTCGGCTCTCGCTTCTTTTCGCCGTGTATGTCGCCAACACTTGTTCTTCGGCTGCACAGATGGTTCAGATATTCACCATGTATCGCCAGGACAGCAACGACCAAGAGTTCAAGTTCCTACACGTGTTCACCCAGATTGAGAAATGCGAGAAGTGGACGGATGCCGGGCGCACCCTCGCCAAGGCCAAGGAGACGTACAAGTCGGTGTTGGGGAACGTAGTAATTTCAAAAAAATTCCTACGCACACGCAAGATCATGGTGATGATATAGCAACGAGGGGAGAGTGTTGTCTACGTACCCTCGTAGACCGAAGCGGAAGCGTTGATGCAACGTAGAGGAAGTAGTCGTACGTCCTCCGGTTCAACCGATCCAAGTACCGTTACTCCGGCACCTCCGAGTTCTTGACACGCGTACAGCTCGATGATGCACCCTCGATCTCCGATCCAGCAGAGGCGCTGAGGGGGAGTTCCGTCAGCACGACGGCGTGGTGACGATCTTGATGTTCTCCTGTTGCAGGGCTTCGCCTAAGCACCGCTACAATATGACCGAGGTGTAATATCGTGGAGGGGGGCACCACACACGGCTAAGGAACGATCAATGATCAACTTGTGTGTTCTAGGGTGCCCCCCTACCCCCGTATATAAAGGAGGGAGGGAGGAGGTGGCCGGCCCTAGGGGGGGCGCGCCATGAGGAGGGGGAAACCTACTCCAAGTAGGTTTCCCTCTCTTTTCCTTATCTTATTTGGAGGGGGAAGGAAAGAGTACTAGTATTAGGAAGTAGTACTAGTAGTAGTAATAGGAAGAGGGGGGAGGAGAAAGGAAAGGGGGGCCGGCCCCCCTCCCCAATTCGGATTGGGCTTGGGGGGGCGCGCCCCCTTCCCTTGCTCCTTCTCTCTTCCTCCTACATGGGCCCAATAAGGCCCATATACCTCCCGGGGGTTTCTGGTAACCTCCCGGGGCTCCAAACTTCTCCGGAACCTTTCCGGTGTCCAAATATATCCGTCCAATATATCAATCTTTATGTCTCGACCATTTCGAGACTCCTCGTCATGTCCGCAATCATATCCGGGACTCCGAACAACCTTCGGTACATCAAAATACATAAACTCATAATATAACTGTCATCGAAACCTTAAGCGTGCGGACCCTACGGTTCGAGAACGATGTAGACATGACTGAGACACATCTCTGGTCAATAACCAATAGCGGGACCTGGATGCCCATATTGGTTCCTACATATTCTACGAAGATCTTTATCGGTCAAACCGCATAACAACATACGTTGTTCCCTTTGTCATCGGTATGTTACTTGTCCGAGATTCGATCGTCGGTATCCAATACCTAGTTCAATCTCGTTATCGACAAGTCTCTTTACTCGTTTTGTAATACTTCATCTTATAACTAACTCATTAGTTACATGCTTGCAAGGCTTAGGTGATGAGCATTGCCGAGAGGGCCCAGAGATACCTCTCCGACAATCGGAGTGACAAAACCTAATCTCGAATTATGCTAACTCAACATGTACCTTCGGAGACACCTGTAGTACTCCTTTATAATCACCCAGTTACGTTGTGACGTTTGGTAGTACCCAAAGTGTTCCTCCGGTAAACGGGAGTTACACAATTCTCATAGTTACAGGAACATGTATAAGTTATGAAGGAAGCAATAGCAGAATACTAAACGATCAAGTGCTAAGCTAACGGGATGGGTCATGTCAATCACCTCATTCTCCTAATGATGTGATCCCATTAATCAAATGACAACACATGTCAATGGTTAGGAAACATAACCATCTTTGATTAATGAGCTAGTCAAGTAGAGGCATACTAGTGACTATATGTTTGTCTATGTATTCACACATGTATCATGTTTCCGGTTAATACAATTCTAGCATGAATAATAAACATTTATCATGATATGAGGAAATAAATAATAACTTTATTATTGCCTCTAGGGCATATTTCCTTCAGTCTCCCACTTGCACTAGAGTCAATAATCTAGATTACATAGTAATGATTCTAACACCCATGGAGTCTTGGTGCTGATCATGTTTTGCTCGTGAGAGAGGCTTAGTCAATGGGTCTACAACATTCAGATCCGTATGTATCTTGCAAATCTCTATGTCTCCCACTTGTACTTGGTCCCGAATGGAATTGAAGCGTCTCTTGATGTGCTTGGTCCTCTTGTGAAATCTGGATTC